GTCCCTCCCCCGCTCGCCTCACTTTCTTTTCCGTGGGGGATTTGGAGAGCTTTCTTTTCCTTTTATTTAAACGCTTGGATTGAACTCACGTTCATAGTTGGTCCTCAGACCTCGTTTAAGCTTTGTTTCTTTCGCTCGACCTCCTGCGCTTGCCCCAGTCAGCGTCGCTTGGTTCCATTCGGTCTCATAGCACAAAGAACCTTCGGGATGGAGAGGCGCCTCAATTCCCCGGCATCGCGCCGGCAAAGAGGCAACCCCTCGAGAGTCCCATGGCCGGAGCCCCTTCAGCCGAGTCTCTGAGGGGGGGGTGACGATCCTGCGCACCCCCTCCTTCGGCCAGAGTGCAGCTTCACCCCTGGGAGGTCCGGGAGGTGTGACGGCTCAGCGCGCTGCCATAAACCGGAAACCCTCTTCTTATGTTCAAAGCAGGGACTCTTCCACTGAGCCACAGCCTCTCATGCTCATGAATTGCATCAGAATCCTTGACAGTATCTGCTGTTTTCCCATCTTACGAAGAAGATAAGAAGATGTGAATCATATGGCCAGGGATGCAGGGCCTTTGCTTCCCTGAACGGAAGCTCGTGCCCTGCTTCCTGCTACAGGGGACCAAAGAGAAGAGACCTTTCCTAACGTAGCACACTTGGGCCCAGGGGTAACCTTCGGTATTGGTTTTTCACTCTCTGGGTGCAGTCTGGGGTTCGTGAAGGCCTAAACAGGAACAGTCTGCTCCGTGCCTGAATGCTTGTTCTGTCAATTTTTTGCACAGTGCCAGAACTACCCATTCTGGAGAAAAGGAACTGGCTGATACACCTGCACTACATCCACAAAGACTATGATGCGTGTAAGGTAAGAGCGTGATGCTTTTGGAAACGTTCTTCTAGAACTGGGAGAACTACAGAAGAGGGCAACCAAGGTGATAAGGGTGTTTTGGAGCCCTTTCCTTATGAGGAAAGGCTGAAGAGTCTCGGACTTTTCAGTTTAGAAAGGCAACAACTAAGGGGGGAATAAGATAGAGGTTTATAAAATTATGAACAATGTGGAGGGAGTTGAGAAAGAGAACTCCCCCCCCAAAAAAAATACTAGAACTTGAGGGCATCCAGTGAAGCCAGTGGACAGTAGATTCAGGAAAGACAAAAAGGAAATACTTTTTAATGCAGAGAGTTATTCAAATGTGGCATTCACTGCCAGAAAATGTAGTTGTGGCCACAAACATAGATGGCATCAAAAGAGGATTAGAGAGATTCTATCAGTGGCTACCAGCCATGGTGACTAAAAGGAACCTGCATGCTCAGAGGCAGTAAACCTATGAATACCAGCACTAGGAGGCTGCATCAGGGGAAGGCCTCGGCGCCTGTGACCTATTGTTGGAATTAGTTGGCTGCTCTGTGTAACAGGTTGCTAGCTTCGTTTTGGGTTCTCTTCCTAGTCAGATTCTGTTTCTGGGACAGGGGGAAGTAATTAGAAACATTTTTCATTACTCAGAGGCAGTGTTCCCTCTAAGCTGAGTTAGTGTGAGCTAGCTCACAGTTTTTGAGCCTCTGGCTCACACATTTTTGTCTTAGCTCAGGAAGGACGGCTCCAGAGCAAACTAATTTATGCAGTAGCCAAATCGTTCACTCACAACTTTAATGCCAGTAGCTCACAAAGTAGAATTTTTGCTCACAAGACTTCACAGCTTAGAGGGAACATTGCTCAGAGGTAGTTCTCATTAAAGGCAAGGTTGGCATCCTTTCAAACCCATACTAACTTATGGAGATCCCTATACATCGTTTCATGTAGTATCTCCCCCCTAGCTGGTGGTGGAAAGTGCCATCAGGTCAAAGCCATCTTATGACGACCCTGTAGGGTTTTCAAGGCAAGAGAGGAACAGAGGTGGTTTGCCATTGCCTGCCTCTGTGTAGTGACCCTGGACTTCCTTGGTGGTCTCCCGTCCAAGTATTAACCAGGGCCCGACCCTGCTTAGCTTCGGAGAGCTGACGAGATTGGGCTAGCGTGGGTGTAGCGAACCCTAACTTCCAATTGTCAAAGCTGTTCCTCCAGTGCGGTGTGATACAGCCGCACTGCAGCTATGCCATGGGACCCTGAAGATGCTCACTTGCCCGGGCAGCCTCACCTGTCTCACAGGATACTCTGAGAGGACAAAAGGAAGTGGCAACTGCAGTGCAGCCTGGGGAAGAAATCTAAATTAATGGAATCATTGACACTGGGGAATCTTAATGCAAGCGAAAGCGCGGCACAAGTGTTTGCATCACATGTGGATGAACTGTCTGTTCTCGGGACCTCCATGGAGCCAGCGTGATGTAGTGGTTAAGAGTGTCAGACTCTAATCTGGAAAACCAGGTTTGATTCCCCACTCCTCCTCCATATGAAGCCAGCTGGGTGACCCTGGGCCAGTCCCAGTTCTTTCAGAACGCTCTCAGCCCCAGCGACCTCACAAGGTGCCTGTTGTGGGGAGAGGAAGGGAAGGTGATGGTAAGCCTCTTTGAGACTCCTTAGACTTAGAGTGGAAAAAAATGGGTTATAAAAACCTACTCTTCCTCTTCTTCAGGGAAAATGCACCCATCATGGCTAGGACCAGGGGTCATTTCGTAGAAAAAGAGCTGCAGGAGCTCATTAGCATATCTAAGTGATGTCAGAAGGGGGAAGCAAAAGGGTGGGAGGCATTTTCAAAAGACTCCCCTCCCCTTCCCCAGCCAGCCTGCCAAGGCAGGCGGGGGGAGGGGGGGAAGCAAAGAGAGAAGGGGTTTAAAGTTTAAAACCCCTTCTCTCTTTCCATTATATTCAATGGGCCATAGAATACAATGGAAAAATCTTTAAACTTTAAACCCCTTCTCTCTTTGCTCTCCCCACCCCAGCTGGGGGAGGGAAGTGAAGAAAGAAGGGGTTTAAACTTTAAACCCCTTCTCTCTGGAGTCACGCTGCAGCGGTGGTACGATGTTGCCATTACATTCTATGGGGCCATAAAATATAATGGAAAGATTGTGACTCCAGAGAGAAGGGGTTTAAACTTTAAACCCCTTCTTTCTTCGTTTCGCCCCCCAAGGGGGGGGAGCAAAGAGAGAAGGGCTTTAAAGTTTAAAGATCCTTCTATTGTATTCTATGGTGCATAGAATATAATGGAAAGAGAGAAGGGGTTAAAAGTTTAAACCCTTTCTCTCTGGAGTTGCACCGCAGCGACTCCATAGAGAAGGATCGCAGGGTCGGGGTCGAGCAGCTGGGGGCAGGGCTTGCCACCGCCACCATTTCTGCCTGCTCCTGGGCTGCTGGAGCAGCACTTCGGTGTGCTCCGGGCCCAACGGTCCCCTGGCTAGGACACTTGAGTGAAAAATTCATGAAATATTACAAAAAACGTTAAAAACTACTATACCTTATGTACCAGATCTGTTGAATATATTACCAGAAAATGGTAAAAAGCAAGATCCCTATCTTATCGTACCAGATCTGTTTTTATTGAATATATTACCAGAAAATGGTAAATAGCAAGATTCCTATCTTATACATATAGTGACAACTGCAAGAATTTTATATGCTAAATACCGGAGAAGAAATGAGGAACCTTCAAGATAAATAAAATGCTTGAAACTGCAGAGATGGAGAAATTAACTTTAATATTAAGAGGACAAACTGTAGGAAGCTTTGAGAACACATGGTTAAGATTCTACAAATGGATTGAAGAACACAACAAATAAAACATATTGACATACAACTGATCTAGAAGCAAATAAGAACTATATTTTTAATCATATGCAAAAGATTTATATAAATATACAAGGTGGAACAAGTACAAAACATAATTAGACATTGTATGAGGTAACTAAATAGACAATTTAATGATGCAACGACAATCCCCAATTTTTGTATGTACGTTTGTTTGTCTTTTTTTTCTGTCTTTAATAAAATAAAATAAAATAATTGGAAAAATGGAGTGGCTGCCAAAAATTGTGAGTGGTTCTAGCAGGGCACTCTCTTGATTCATACCGATGACAAGAGCATTCGTTTGTTTTTGTTTTTTGAAAGAACAAAAGCAGAAACTTTACTGTGTATTTTTTAAAAAAATTGAAAACAGAAAAACAATCAAGCCACATATCCATGTAAAGTTGAATGTTAAAACCAACATTGGGCGCAGAAAATCGAGAGATGCTGAAAAAGAAAGGATCAATTAATTCTTTACTCGGTGTATGATGAATAGAGCCCCGTGTCTAACAGAAGGTCCCCCCATTATATAAAAATGACTTTTTTTAACCTGTTTTGTCTCAAATGTATATACGTCATCAGTCTTCCGACGCTTGCAAAATTACACACACACACCCCATTATTGATGGGGCTGTTAACAGCCTTCCATTTGGAATGAGACAAGAGATTTAAAGACCTTTTTTTTTTAATACATTGAAGGTAATTTATGATTAGTGTAGTGAAAAGACAGAGTGTACCTCTAGGACTATTCATCCCGGCTCTTAATTTTACAGGCGATGAATAGCTATTGCACTTGAGTGGCAGGAGTCCCACTTGCTGCAGCGTCACCTGTGCAGAAGCTCTTGCTTTAATGGTAAGAAGGGTAAAATAAAAGGACACTGGAAGACAATTAAGCAAAAGAGAGGAACCTTTGCACAAAAGAGAGCCCCATTTCTTGGATAATTTCACTTTAAGAAGTGCTTTACCAGAATGGACAAATTATCCACTGAAGAAGAGAATGGTTAGATTATTGAGGGTTTTTTGCTTCAGGGATAGAATAGGCCTGTGCATTTGGTACATACCTTCCCTTAATGAATGCTGGATTAATTTCAAGGCAAGACCATTTTATCAGATGTTGGGTTATTAACCACGCTGTTCAGCCAGCCTAAAACTTTTAAAAATGGTATTACTAAAAAGTTGCTTCCTTTCACTTTGTGTTTCAGATTGCTATAAAAGAGCAACTTCAGGAGAGCCATGGAATGTGCGAATATGCAATCTATGTTCAAGGTGAACATCTAGTGATGCCGATATGCTTCAAGCTTGAAATACACTAGCTATTTTTAAAAGTTAAGCTAAAATTGACGGGTTGGATCCAAAGTAAATCTTCTGCTAATGGAAGGGGAGGCGTAATTTCTCCAAGTTCCCTGTCCCCCGCTGCAGACCCCTGATTTGCCCTTTGTGATATTTCTGAGGATACCGTTTGAGGAGAGTGAGATCAACGATCTAGGGATTTCCCCTCATCTTTATGGTAAATACCATAGAGATGGTGAAATTCCTAGAGTGTCACCAGGGAGGCCATTTCCCGGCCTGTCCCCCAGGAGCAGCATTTCAGGGAGATCTTGGGTAGCAGGGCTCGGAAAGCTCTCTGTCTGAGACCCTGGAGGCCTACTGCCAGTTAGAAGAAACAGTTCTGGGCTACACTGATCAATGGTCCAGTTTGGTATAGGGCAGCTTCATGTGTCCCCCACCATTCCCAGCTTCCCATGGATGAGGTGGAGAGTTAACAGGAGTGGGGCCACCATTCTCCTCTCCGCACCCCAGCCTTGCCCAGGATGCAGCCAGGTGCCTCCCGGGGGGGGGGGGGATTCTCCGTATTAATGAGTGTTGTTGCATTTCAGCTTTGATATTCCGCTTGGAAGGGAAGATTCAAGAGTCACTGGAACTTTTCCAGACGTGTGCTATTCTCAGTCCTCAGAGCGCAGACAATCTCAAGCAGGTGGCTAGGACGTTGTAAGTGCCCTTTTCCTCCTCCAGAGCGGAGGTGTGGTGGGGTGGGGTGGCTCCATTACTTTTGGCTCCCATTACCTGCCCCATTGGCACAGAGGCGAACTCCTTAATCATGCCTCTGTCCTTACAATGAAAAGAGCCTCTGGATTGCTTTGATGTCTCTAATCTTTCAGAGGCTCAAGAGCGCGTGACGTTTTACGTTTCGGAATGCTTATTTAAAAAAAAAAAAAAGACCTCCAACATTTATATGTCACCATTTTAAAAGGCAAAATTCTCCTTCCCCGCCTCTAAATACTTGCCTGAAATAACCTCTCTGCTGTAAGGTTTTTATTGTCTTGCATTTTCATTCATTTGTTTCTTCAAGCATTCACAATCCTGCCTTTCCTCGCGGTTCAAGGTGGGCTGAGAATGACCGTTTAAAACATTTCCAGCTTAAACCCGAAAATAAAACAGCAAACCCCAAATCTCTTCCTCTTCCTCCTCCTCCTCCTCCTCTTCCCCACCTCTTTGAGAGACGCCTGCCATTCAAAGCCCTGGCAGACATGCAGGCCATGCAGTGCCTCTTGAATATCTCCAAAGGGGGGGGGTCACCTCTCCAGGGAGCTGGAGCCATGATGGGAAAGGCTGGGCTCTGGTCAGGGGTATAGCTAACAGGTGGCTGCAGGACGACCGTGGCTGGCGCACAGGGACACATAGAAGGTCCTAAGTGAGGGTCGCTGTCGTACCTTCATCATCAGCATTAATATTTCTGATACTGGAAGGCAGCCGGCATCCTCCTGTTTGCCCAGTACATTCTGTACAGACCTGTTGGGTTATTTTGCCCCCAGGTGATGTAACGATCTCTGTCCACAAAGGTGCATGGAAGAGGGAACTCTCTCTCCTTCAGTGTAGACTTTCCGGCTAGTTGAGTCAAGATGGGTAGCCCTGCTAGTCTGTCTGTCGCAGCAGAAAAGAGCACGAGTCCAGCAGCACCTAACAAAGACTTAACAAAATGTGTGGCAGGGCAGGAGCTTTCGTGAGTCACTGCTCACTTCTTCAGATACGGCTAGAATGTGAGTCCATCTGTCCTGTTTCTTGGAAAGTGGAGTGATTTCAGATGCCGAAAGACATTAGCAGGCAAATGACAATAGCAGGCATGTTAAAATTATGTGTGATATGCAGAGGGGTAGTAGAAATGGAGAAATTAGCATTGGTAACGAGACAGGAAACCTCGGTTTTGGTTCAGTCCAGGAGGATACATTGTCTTGAGCTTCATTATCGGTTGCAATTCAGCAGTCTCTCTTTCTAATCTCCCTTTGAAATTCCTTTGTAAGAGAACTACTACTCTTAGATCAGTAACCGAATGTCCTGGAAAAAATGTTCCCCCACTGGCTAGCTAAGAACAGATCTGGAGACATGAAACGAGCCCATTCCCCCAGTACTTTACTGGTCTGCTCTCTTGGGCCAGCTACAGCTGTTCTGCTTGGCTCTGCATCACAGCCCTCCTCCTCAGCCAAGCTCCCTTTGGTCCCGTTGACTGCTCAATGACATCTTGCAACGAGGACAGAGGAAAAGGGAGCTCTGAAATTTCGTTTCAGGTTTCTTCTGGGGAAGCACAAAGCAGCCATTGAATTGTACACTGATGCGGCCAGACTCAACAAGAAGGACTGGGTATGCATGAAGCTTTCCTTCCCATTACCTAAATATAAGAGCCGAGAGCAGGGGTCCCCAACCGTTTTGAGCCCGTGGGCACCTTTGGAGTTCCGACATAGGGTGGGCGGGCACAATCACATAATGGCTGCCGCAGGAGGCGGAGCCAACCTCAAAAACGTCTTTTGCAGGAGGTGTAGTCAACCGCAAAATATTAGTGAGCGAGGTTATTTATAACTCTAATATAGTACCCCTTCAAGCATTTCATGCAGAAGCCCTGTTTAACAGGATGCCTTTAAATCTGCACAGCCAATCAGAAGCCCTGCTGGGCAGAAGCCCCACCTAGCCCCGCCCACTTTCTAAAAGCACTTGGTGAGTGCCAGGAAAGGTGTTGGTGGGCGCTGTGGTGCCCACGGGCACAGTGTTGGGGACCCCTGGCCTAGAGTCTGATGGGCACTCCTCTGACCTACCTAGGGGCTGGTTGGCACAGTAACTTTTCCTCCGTGTGTTTGTGTGTAAACAGCCCCAGCTGGTCCTCCTAACAGCAGCTCACACAGAGAGATGCTAATCCAGGATTGGGCTGCATGCAGAGGCAGCCTTTGATTCCTCTTGCCAGGAATCACTCTGGATTTTTTGGTGTGCAGCTCGGTTTCTAGATAAACGGTTCCCACTGGGATTGTGGGCACACGCGTGGCCAAGGACACGCTGGGGCTACACGTGTGTAGGAGAAAGTAACTGGAGGTGTGAAACGTTGACGCTTGGAGAGGGAGCTGAGATTTGGGGGGGGGGGACTGTGAAATGTAGAGAGCCAATATGATATAGCGGCCACAGTGATGTACTAGGATGCAAGAGACCCAGGTTCAAATCCCCACTCTGTCATGGAAGGCGGTCGGGTGACCTTGGACCAGTCACACTCTCTCAGTCTGACTTCCCTCACAGGGTTATTGTGAGGGTAAACTGGGGAGAAAGGGAATGTGTAAATGCGCAGTGCTTTGGTATCAAGACTAAAGGTATTTCACCGTTTCGACAGCATCAAATGTATAATTTTATAACTTAGCATATCAAACGGCACTGTCCGGCATACTTGAAATGTGAAACTTTTAAAGAGAGTCGTAGCGCAGTCCCAAGCACTGTTAACAGCCTTCAAGGGCTGTTGTTTTAAAGGATTTACACCCTTCTCAGGGTGTGGTCCAGTTTGGTGTAGTGGTTACGTGTGCGGGCTCTAATCTGGGAGAACCGGGTTTGATTCCCCACTCCTCCACTTGCACCTGCTGATGTGACCTTGGGTCAGTCACAAGCTCTTGCACAGCTGTCCTTGAAAAAGAGCAGTTTGTGTCAGAGCTCTCTCAGCCCCACCCACCTCACAGGGTGTCTGTTGTGGGGAGGGGAAGGGAAAGGAGTTTGTAAGCCGCTCTGAGACTCCGAGTGAAGGGCGGGGTATAAATCCAATCTCCTCCTCCTCCTCCTCCTCCTCCTCCTCCTCCTCCTCTTCTTCCTCCTCCTCCTCTTCTTCTTCTTCTTCTTCTTCTTCTTCTTATTATTATTATTATTATTATTATTATTATTGCCGTCAATTCACATCTGACTGGTGGCAACCCCTGGTGGGGTTTTCAAAGTAAGAGATGTTCAGAGGCCATTTGCCACTGTCTGGCTCCACGTCGTGATCCCTGGCGGTCTCCCATCCAAATACTAACCAAGACCAACCCTGCTTAGCTTCTGAGAACTGACGAGATTTATTTATTGGGGCTAGTCTGGTCAGGGCAGCTTTGCTTAGGATCAGGCTATTAACACGCAGGCTCGTCAGCCATGGTGGCGACCGTCTTTCAGGCTCTGCCACGTCCGCCATAGTTGGAGAGCTATTCTGATTGTTTTCAGTAGGCATGAAATCCGATTGTTCTGCCGGGATTGCCTGGTACACATTCTCTGTCGACGCTGCTTGCCATCTGTGCTGATCAGCATGACAATACTTTTGTAGCGTGTGTCATAACGTATTTAAAACTTTCCCACATCTGGAAGGAACATTTTCCGCAGAGGACGGGCACTTAACACAGTGGTGGTTCTTTATCTGGTGTTGGCTCATTTCTGCCTGAGGCTGGTACTGAGAAGTTCTGCAGGCTTCTAGTGGCTGGCTTCAAACAAAGGGACAGACAAAAGATTTCTTTACACAGAGAGTGATTAACATGTGGAATTCACTGCCAGAGGGTGCAGTGATGGCTACAGGAATAGACCGCTTTAAAAGGGGATTGGATAGATTCATAGAGGAGAAGTCTATCAGTGGCTACTAGCTATGGTGACTGAAGAGGCAGTAAACCTATGAATCCCAGAGCCAGGAGGCAACTTCAGGGGAAGGACTCGGCCTCTATGCCCTGTTGCTGCATCTCCAGAGGAACCGGTTGGCCACTGTGTGAGACAGGATACTGGAGTAGATGGACCATTGGTCTGATGCAGCAGGGCTCTTCTTATGTTCTTATGAGGGCCTCGGCCTCTCTGCCCAGTTGTTGGCCTTCCAGACAAACTGATTGGCCAATGTGTGAGATAGGATGCTGGACTAGATGGACCACTTGTCTGATCCAGCATGCCTCTTCTTATGTTCTTATGAAGGCCTCAGCCTCTATGCCCTGCTGTTGGCCCTCCAGATGAACTGGTTGGCCACTGTTAGGAGATAGGGTGCTGGACTAGAGGGACCACTGGTATGATCCAGCAGGGCTCTCTTGATATTCTTATGAAGGCCTCAGTCTCTATGCCCTGTTGTTGGCCCTCCAGAGGAGCTGGTTGGCCACTGTGTGAGACAGGAAGGCTGGACTAGATGGACCACTGGTCTGATCAGCAGGGCTCTCCTGATGTTCTTATGTTCTGGTGCTGAAATGACATGCTGATGTGTCCCACCGTGGCATTTCTCTTTCTTCCTGTTACATAAGGTGGCTGCGTTTGGCATCTAATATTTTGTTTTCTGCATGTATGAGCTAATGCCTCATGGACAAGACCAAGGTCTGGATTAATTGTAAAATTCCAGCGGCCGTTGTTAAAAGAATGCTCAATTAATTTGCCTAGGCAAACTCCTTTGCCTGGTTTCCAGTTGTATTGCTCTGCACAGCATCCTTCCCGGGAAGTAAGATTATCGGGAGAGGCCCTCCTGACCACCAGTCAAAGAGGCTCGTCTGGTGGGTACAGGAGAGAAGGCCTTTTCAGTGGCAGACCCATCATTATGGAACAACTTCCCCAGGGAGGTGCGCCTGGCCCCCTCACTTTCAATCTTCGGGAGGCAGTTGGAGAGAGTTTTATTTAGGACTGCTTATGACAGAGTTAGTTTGTATTTATTGGCAGTCCTGATTTTGAGATTTTTAAATTGCGGTCTTTTATATGTTCTTTAAAACAATTGTTGTTTTACAATTGGTTAAGACGCTGAACTGCAGGGTGTGGAAGGTCGGTAGTTCAGCAGTTCAAGCCCCGAGTGTGCCGCATGATGGAGTGAGCTCCCGTCTCTAGTTCCAGCTCCTGCCAACCTAGCAGTTCGAAAGCAAGAAATTGCAAGTAGATAAATAGGTCCCGCTTCGGTGGGAAGGTAACAGCGTTCCGTGTGCCTTGGTGTTTAGTCATGCCGGCCACATGACCACGGAACCGTCTTCGGACAGCGCTGGCTCTTCAGCATTGAAACGGAGATGAGCACCGCAACCCTAGAGTCGGACTGGACTGGCTTTCGAGCAAGGGGACCTTTACCTTTACCTTTAAGCAGCCTTAAGTTCCGCAAGGTAGAAAAGCAGCTAAAAATGGTTAGTAGGTAGGAAAGGAAAGGAATCAGCTACCTAGGGAGGTGATGAGCTCCCCCTCCCTGGCAGTCTTTAAGCAGTGTCTGTACCACTTGTCAGGGATGCTCTAGGCTGATCCTGCATTGAGTGGGGGGTTGGACTAGATGGCCTGCATGGTCCCTTCCAACTCTGTGATTCTGTGGCGGTAGGGAGGAATTAAGAAAGGAAGGGATCTTTGACCATGGGGTCTGGACTAATCACCATCCACTGTTTTGATACTTGAAGACCACCTAAGCAAAAATATTTAACTCATAAACAGGTGCAATTCAGAAGTTGCAGACTTCCAAGCTAAGGCACTGAGCAGCTGTTCTCTGCCCGAGAAACCATTTAGGCAATGTGATGGTACAGCCTTTTGACTGCTTGTGTCGTCCCAGGGTCTTACTGGTTTCATGCAGCCAGTAGGGTTGCCAGCTCTGAGTTGGACAATACCTGGAGACTTTGGGGGGTGGATCCAGGAGAGGGCGGGGTTTGGGGAGGGGAGGGGCCTCGCAGGGTACAAGGCCCTCGAGTCCACCCTTCAAATCAGCCAGTTTCTCCAGGGGAACCGATCTCTGTCATCTGGAGGCCAGTTGTAAAAGTGGGAGATCTCCAGGCCCCACCTGGAGGCTGGCAACCCTGGCACCCAGTGAGCTCAAGACCAGCCTTTTTTGCACATGCACGGTTACCAGAATGCGGTGGGTTGATTTTACCAATGTCCTCTTTTCTTTCCCACTTAGGAGATTTTCCACAACTTGGGCATCTGCTACATGTATCTGAAACACTTCAACAAGGTAACGTGCTGGAATGCAGGTGTCCCCAACATGGTGCCCGCATTGTCACACATTTTCTGTTTTTGGGATGCGGGTGGGGCCAAGGAGGGCTTTTGTTCAGCAAGGCTTCTGATCGACTATCGATGATCCGGTTGGCTCTGTGCAGATCCCCCCCCCCCCCAAATGCGGCTTTGGCAGCAGCTGCCAACACAGCACAAGGATCTGCACCGCGTGACTGAAGTTAAGTGGTGGCAATCATTTCATGGTTGGCTCCACCTCCCGCGGCAGCCGTTTTGTGGCTGTACCCACCGTGCCATGTCAGGATTCCAAATGTGCCCACACAGGATCAAAAAGGTTGGGGACCTCTGCTGTAATGTAAGCTGGCATGGTGAAATAGTTAGAGCATCAGAGTAGGATTTACATCCTGTTGTTGGACCTCCAGAGGAACTGTCAGGCCACTGTGTGATGCTGGACTTGGGAGAGCCAGTTTGGCGTAGCGGTTAGGAGCACGGACTCTAATCTGGAAGGAACCGGGTTTGATTCCCCACTCCTCCACTTGCAGCCGCTGGTGTGACCTTGGGTCAGTCACAAGTTCTTTTTGAGCTGTTTGTCATGAGCAGTTCTCAGGAGAGCTTTCTCAGGCCCACCTACCTCACAAGGGTGTTTGTTGTGGGGAGGGGAAGGGAAAGGGGATTGTAAACCACTTTGAGACTCCTTTGAGTAGTGAACGATGGGGTATAAATCCAGTCTCTTCTTCCTCTTCTTGGATAGACCACTGGTCTAATCCAGCAGGGCTTTTCTTACGTTTTTACAAGGCTGGGTTTGAGATCTCAACTCCTGCCATGGAAGCCTGCTGGGTGACCTTGGGCCAGTCACACACTCCCAGCCTAGGCCTTGAGGGCCTGCTTTTGCATTTCACGGCCTTAAAGCCGGAGAGTAGCACCGTTTTTGTCCTTGAGCTCTGGCCAGCAGACTATCCAGCGATGGCGCAGAAGCCATCTAATCTCATGCCTGGGACTCTTCTGTGGGGGAGGAGGCCAGCGGCTGAGCAACCTGCTGGTCTTCTGAAGATGCTGCAGCCCACCTGTGGGAGCTCGTTAGCCTCTCCCGCATTGGACACGCCAGTGGGAGGACGCCTTCCGTTTAATCCTTGATAGTGGAGCCAGCCCTCGTTCGCACAAGCTGTTGACTTTGCATTTTACGCGGAGGCCCTGCCGGTGTCTTAATGTGCCGTTAATGTCTGCGAAACGTCCTCCCCTGCCACCGCTTGCCGTGCGCGCACCTTGCTCTGACTCACTCAGGCCTATAAAATATAATGACGCCTGTAGAGCGTGCTGGCATTTTCGCTCTTTCGTAATGACTATCCGAACACCACATAATTCCTTTTTCTCCGTCAGCATTCCTCTCGCCTCCTTAATGTGCCTCAGAAACCTGCAACCTTTCATTCTCGTCCCACCGGCTGGGCCCCGGGGAGGAAGGGAGGCCATTGCAATCGATTCCCGTCATCGGAAGGGGATTAGCGATGGGCCCGGGAGGAGTTCTCTTCCTTTGTTTGGAGCGCAGCAGACCTCTCAGCTCAGTGCTGGGCTCAGCATTTTGCAGAAAGAGAGGAAGAGAGAGAGAGAGACAAGCTCTGAAAGGCTCGGCTGCCTCCGGTCCCCACAAAATGGCCCAAGTTGAGAATCCTGGAATGGAAGCTCCTCAAGGGGGATGAGACAAGGGCTCTTTTTGTAGCAGGAGCTCCTTTGCATATTAGGCGACACACCCCTAATGTAGCCAATCCTTCAAGAATTTACAGTAGCCCCTGTAAGAAGAGCTCTGTAAGCTCTTGGAGGATTGGCTACATTAGAGGTGTGTCGTCTAAATATGCAAAGGAGCTCCTGCTACAAAAAGAGCCCTGGCAGGCGGTTCTGACTCCACTGCCTGGCCAGGGGGCAGCATTTGGGGAGGGGGAGGGACTTAGGGGACGGGGGGCGTGGCTTGGTGTTAGAGCATCGGCTTGGCATGCTGGACGTCCCAGGTTCAATCCCCAGCATCTCCAGGCCAAAAGATTGGGCAGTAGGTGATGTGAAAGTCCTCTGCCCTGGAGTGACGTGGGGAGAGGCCATGGCTCAGTGGTAGAGCATCTGCTTGGCATGCAGAAGGGTCCCAGGTTCAATCCCTGCCATCTCCTGTTAAAAGGACCAGGCAGCCGTTGATGGGAAAGACCTCAGCTCGAGACCCTGGAGAGCCGCTACCAGTCCGAGTAGACAATACTGATCTTGATGGACCCAGGGTCTGATTCAGTATAAGGCAGCTTCATGTATTCACTTTTGGGAAGGGAGAAGGGTGTGGCTCGGTTTTAGAGCATCTGCTTGTCACGCTGAAGGTCCCGGGTTCAATCCTTGGCGTCTCCAGTTAAAAGGGCCAGGCAGTAGGTGATGTGAAAGACCTCAGCCTGAGACCCCGGAGAGCTGCTGGCTGTCAGAGTAGACGAACAGTCTGATGAAGACAACTTCACGTGTGTTCGTGTGACTTGTTGGAGGTTGATGGAAGAGAGGCCCATCCCACTGACTTGGTGCAAGTAAGAGCACTTCGAACATCGGGAGGTGACTTGTATCGAGCCAGGCCATTGGTCCATCTGTCTCAGTTTTGTCAACTCTGGCTGGTAGCGGCTCTCCAAAATCTCAAACATAGGCCAGCTGTATACCTGAAATTGAATATGGAACCTTCTGCATGCAAAATCTGCTCTCAGCCATATAGGACAAAAAAGGAGTTCCTTTCCCTCTCCTACCCACCCCCGCACAAGGGCTAAAGCACAAAAAGAGTCCAGGAAAAAGCAATCCCCCCCCCAAGCTCCTTTTGTTCCTCATGTGCTTTGAGCCGGAGCCATTGCATTACAAGATTATGCATGGGAAAGAACAGGTAGAGAAAGAGGTACTTTTCTCCCTTTCTCACAATACAAGAACTCGTGGGCACTCCATGAAATTGCTGAGCGGTCGGGTTAGAACGGATAAAAGGAAGTACTTCTTCACCCAAAGAGTGATTAACACTTGGAATTAACTGCCACAGGAAGTGGTGGCGGCTACAAGCATGGACAGCTTCAAGAGGGAATTAGATAAGCATATGGAGCAGAGGTCCATCTGTGGCTATTAGCCACAAGGTATAGATAGGGACTCTGGGGCAAGTGATACTCTGTGATCTTGGTGCTTGGGGGGGGGGTCAACAGTGGGAGGGCTTCTAATGCCCTGGCCCCACTGGTGGGCCTCCTGATGGCACTGGTATTTCTGGCCACTGTGTGATACAGAGTGTTGGGCTGGATGGGCCTTTGGCCTGATCCAACATTGTGTTCAGCCCCCAAAAGTTCCTTTTGTTCCTGGTGTGCTTTGAGCCAGAGCCATCCTCAAGGGCAAAGTTATTTTGGAAATTATTAAAGCTCTTGGATCTAGTCTCCCATTGGGTAGAATCTTCAGCCAGTGACGAGCTCTCTCATTTGCTTTGAGCAGTTGTCTGGGGTTGGTTCATGGCCAATGGTGGAGCACCTACTTGGCATGCAGAAGGTCCCAGGTTCCTCTCCAGTCGAAAAGATCATGCAGTAGGTGATGGGAAAGACCTTGATCCGAGACTGTGGTTCAGTGGTAGAGCATCTGCTTGGCATGCAGAAGGTCCCAGGTTCGGTCCCCAGTGTCTCCAGTAAAGGGATCAGGCAGTAGGTGACGGGGGAAACATATGCCTGAGACCCTGGAGAGCAGATCCCAGAGCAAAAACCCTGGAGGGACGAAGGGTCTACTTGGTATAAGGCAGCTTCATGTAGTCCCTTAACTTGGTAAAAGTCTGAGGAAAAAACTATATTTTAAAAAGGCTTTTTTTCAGACAGCTGTTTTCTGTATTTCCCTTGAGGGTGGGAAAAGAAGGGGTTGACTGAAGGGGTGGAGGGTGAGAAAGGAAGGACACTTTCCTGGCGTCCACCCAGTGTTTTGAGAAAGTGAGCGGGGTCAGGTAGAGCCCCCGCCCAGTAAGCCTTCTGATTGGCCACTGGAGATTTTTAAGAACATCGCCACCAGAGCCAAAGGATCTTCACCGTGTGACTGAAGGGAAGCTGCAGAAGCCATTCTGTGGCTGGCTCCGCCTCCCGGAGCAGCCAGTTTGTGGTAGCCACAGGCTCAAAAAGCTTGGGGACCCCAGATCTACGCAGCTGGTGGTGGTTGCTCTTTCGTGCCCTCCCCCCCCACACACACACAGCTGCTGGATCCTTTTAGTTGCCTTTTGAAAAGAGTCCTTGGAGAGGTTCAGCTTGGATCGTGCAAAAGGGGTAGGCAGAAGGAGAGGACATGGGCAAGCAAATTTTTTAAAATCCTTTGGTGCAAAAACTTGTCCGAAGGGAGGCTGGTGTTCTTGGGACAACCATTCTCTTTTTCTTCTCCTAGATCAAAGATGCTTCAGACAAAGAGAGGGAGGGACGGAGTCTTGGGACGCAGAGGCTTAGCTGCTACTTTTTTTTTTCTGCAGCGCTTACTGAGTTTTCGTGATCCTGTTTCAGTTTTCAAACCGATCTGCGCAACTGCAAAAGCTAGAAATGCTGGGGTTTATTTATTTTTTAAAGGCCGACAGTGACTTCACGGACTATGGAAATAGGCCTGCCGATACCGGGTCCCTTTCTTCTCTCACCATCCAGCATGCCAGGTTCAGAATGGGTTTGGAGTCGTCCTGCACGTTCTCGAGCCCTGCATTTTCTTTCTTCCTCCAGGCGAAAGACCAACTGAACACCGCTCTGGAGCTGAACCGGCATGACTTGACGTACGTGATGTTGGGGAAGATTCACCTGATGGAGGGGAATACGGAGAAGGCCATTGAAGTGTACAAGAAAGCAGTGGAGTAAGATGTCTTTTCTTGCATGTTCTCTTTTCGGGGGGGGGGGGATCATGCCTGGCGGGACCGAATTGGGACAATATTGAGAGGACGGTCCCTCTCCAGGCCTAGCCAGCTGCCTCAGGCGCAACTTTGCCTCTCCAGCCATACGAGTTATTGAATCAGGTAGCTCAGGGGGACCCTCCCGGGCACCTTTTCTGGGAGGCACGAAGACGCTCGGTACATTTCTCCAACCCTGTAAAAATAGCAGCCCTAACCTGGATGGCCTGGGCTAGTCCAAGCTTGTCGGATCTCGGAAACTAAGCAGGGCCGGCCCTGGTTAGTCCTTGGATGGGAGACCAGCAAGGCTGACCAGGGTTGCAGCGCAGAGGCAGGCCATGGCCAACCACCTCTCTTTGTCTGCCCTGACCTGGACGGCCCAGCCAAGCCCGATCTCTTCAGATCTCAGAAGCGAAGCAGGGTCATCCCTGGTTGGTAACTTGGACAGGAGACCGCCAAGGAAGTCCAGGGTTGCTGCCTGGAGGGCAGGCCATGGCAAACCACCCCCGAACGTCTCTTGCCTTGAAAGCCCTGTAGAGTCACCGTAAGTTGGCTGTGACTTGACGAGACTCACACACATAAAAACAGCAAAGGGCTTGAGCAGTGCCAGGCGTGAGATTTCCTCAGGCTGTTTCAGGCGGCCAGGTGCCGAGGTGTCCACCTTCGCCCTCGTCTCCAGGACCGATTGTGGGCAGCCGAGAATCCCCTGCTGAGATCCTCTGCTGGAAACCGAACGAACGAGGGCTTGGGAGGGACCCTCTCTTGCTTGTTGACAATACTCTCTTCCCGGAGGAGGACAGTAGATCTGCCTTTGGTGGATTTAAATCCTGGGCGACCTGCCCCACCGAGCCTTTTAAGGCCCCCCATTCTGTTAGGTCCCTGCCCTTGATTCCTGCTCTGCCCATTTGGCCACCTTCGCCCGCCCCATCCCAGCGCCTCTTGCCCTTCTCCCCATCGCCCTCCTCCCCCATCTGTTGCCGAACCCTGAGCTGATACAGCTGCCTCCTGCTCTCCCTCTGTTGTCTTCCCCCAGTGTCTGCTGTCGAGGGTAAGCTCCCGGGGGAGGGGAAGCACCCCATCCCGTAGGCACCGGTCCCCAACCCTTTTGAGCACGCAGGAACCATTGGAATTCTGACACAGGGTCTGTGGGTGCAACCACAGAATGGCTGCCACGTAGGGCAGGGGATCCCCCGCTTTTGTGAGCTCCTGCCCGTTGCCGGCCAGCAGGAGGAAATTCCCCTGATGCCGTGCACAATGCGCCGATGTCACCCAGAAGTGACGTCAGGGACGGGGGAGGGGGACACTCTGCTTTGGGGGCAAAACTCTATAGTTTCGGGCCGTTCGTACCATGGAGTTTTCCCAAAAAGCGGAGCATCGCCCCCAAAGTTGCCGACGCCCTGTTGTCACTTCTGGGTGATGCCAGTGCATTGTGTGTCATCTCCGTCCTCTCCCGGAACGACCCCGAAACCCCCCCGCTGGTGCGACAAGGGGACCTGGCAACCCTACTGCCTCAAGGGGAGCAGGGTGCAATCACAAGATGGCTGCCACTGTAGCTGCACCCACCGCATGGAGCCTGTGCGCAGGGGAGAAGAGGGATAATTTTTAAAAATGCACTGGGAAAGGGAGTGCAAGAGAATAAAACCAGTGCTGTGGTGGCGGCAGCTGCTGAAGCAGTGTTATTTCAGTCTGCCCAGCTAATCAGGTCTCCGGTGACCAATCAGAAGCCCTGCTGGGTGAGTGCCCCACCTGGCCCCGCCCACTTTCTAAAAACACCTGGTGAGCACCAGGAAAGGTTTGGGCAGGCACAATGGCGCCCACGGGCACCACGTTGGGGACACCTGACCTAAGGCCCACTGATGATGCCCTTCGACGAATAATTGTCTTACGGTGGGTAGTGGTGGATAGGTCAGTTTAGCAGAGTAATGTCATGCTCAAGATTTATTTTGGCCTTCCCGTTGTCTGCTCGCCCGGGGCACGAGTTAAAATTTCTGCCAGGGGTGAAGGTTGCCAGACTTTCTGTTCAAGCCTCACTGTGACACCAACAGTCTGACAACTGCTCTTTTATGGCTGGCCTGTTATTATCTGCGAGGTCAGAAACGGCTGCACCATTAGACGGGGTGATTCAGGCCGTTCCGGGTCTCATCCTTCAGGACACCGCTAAACGAGCAGCGAAACCTTTAGTGCCATAAGGGGGACCGTTTGGGTGTTCTATTTCAGGCGCATGAAGTGTCTGTTCAAGGATCATTTATTTCTTTGCATAACGATTTGTAATCACGAACGTTCCAGGCGGCTTAAAACCCAGCTGGGGGGTCTCTTCTTGCGTTTCAGGTTCTCTCCTGAAAACACGGACCTGCTGACGACCCTGGGCTTGCTCTACCTGCAGGTACAACGGGTGACTGTTCATTGACTCAGTCTTGAATGTGGCCCAACAGCAGTGAACGGCACGAGAGAGCCAGGGGTGTGTGTGGTGATCGAGAGCGCTGGACTAGCATCGGGGAGGGCCCAGCTTGGAATCCCCACGTGTGCCACGAAAGCTTGCTGGGGGACCCTGGGCCAGTCACACACTCTCTCTGCCTAACCCACCTCACAGGGTCGTTGTGGGGATGAAATGGAGGAGAGGAGAGTGATGGAAGCCACCTTGGGTCCCTGTTGGGGAGAA